TCCCGCCCTTCCCCTCTGTGGCCGGCCTGTGGGGGCTCACGGCGAACACAAGCTCCCGAACCCCCGCGCCCCTCACCTCAGGCCGGCTTTGCCCTGGGGGGCTGGGGAGAGTGAGGGCGGAGAGAAGGCAAAGCCAGGAGGTTCCCCCTTTCTGTTCAGGATGCGTCTCCGGCAGTGGCTGTGTCCCATCCGTCCCCCCCACCAGGTCCCACCAAACAGTCCACCTCCTCCCCCGTCTCCCCACCCCAGTGACTGGCACCCCTAATTCTGCTGATCTCGGGGTGGCTTCCTGTCCCTGCTCGCTTCTGCTGGGTTTCAGCCACCATTGCAACTGGACCCCAGCAATAAACCACCTCAGCTGAGCCGCCCGGTGGGGGCCCCATTTCCTCAACTTCACCCTGACTCGTGCCCGAGGCCAGTGCCTTTTTCAGGACAGACTGTAGACCCACTGCAACTTTCTAGTGAAATTGCCTGCCCCTCTTCTTTCACCAGGAGAAAGGTGTGTTTCCTTCGGTGTTAGGATTAAGAAGGATTTGAAGACTAACATGGAATTTAATTCTTAATAAGGAAAGACACAACTTCGTCCCTGGAAAACATAACATTGTCAAGGAGCAGGGAGCAACAGCTGTTGGAAGGCGCGGGGTGAGGAGCCGGGCTCCCGGCCGGGCCGAGGCTGCGAGGCCGGCGCTGCCCTTGGGGACACACGGGCCTTCCCAGGCGGCAGCTGTGAGCGCTCTCTGTGGTCGCCCGGAGCACATCCTCCGTGTCTGTGGTTCACTCGTGAGCTCCTGGTCCTGTAAGTTTGTAGGCACCTGGACATTTTGTATTTATCTAATTTTCCTATTCTGCTGGTTTGTATTTTTGTTTCCGTACTTGTTCGTATTCTCCCCTTGCCGGGAAGAGAGGGATGAGCCATGAGTCAGGTGGCAGGCTGCGGTGAGGAGAGGGGGTGGCTTCCAGGAAAACCACCAGCCACTACGCTGGGATGTTGCCGGGTGCCCCGCTTGGTCTCCTTTGACTTGGAGGGGGCTGGTTCCGTAGGGGGCCAGCCCCCGTGGTCCGCACTGGCGGGACAGGCGCACGGTGATCCAGCCTCAGAGCTCAAACATGAGTGCACCTCCGTGAGCTTCAAGACTACAGCCCTGTTAGAGTCCAGATTTTCTGCTTCGTACTAGTAAGGTGGAAAACATTGTATAGCACGTATCAGGATCGTATTGTAAAGCCAAGCACATGCTGAAGGTCTTATTCTGGGACTTTTTGTTTTGTTTTGCTTTCATTTCTTGAATAGATTACACTATCATTAAAAAAAAAACAAAACCAACTAGCCAATTACTGTCATAGACTTTAGCTTCATTGCTAATTTTGTTTCCCAGAATTGGGGACTTGGAGCCAAACGAAGTGAGCCAGCCAGGGGGACCTACAGCCCCTGGTTCAGTGGAGGAATGCATTTAGTTTAACGGGACCAGGGCTGTTTTGTTTTGTCTCTGTAATGGATTTGCCTGTGAGCTGCACCTGTAAGAGGGGGCGGGCCCTTCTGAGACTCCTTATTTACCGGCGGTTAAGGACAGGCTGTGGACACGCAGCCTTGTGAATGAGAACGCTCTCGCCACCCCCATGGGGTACGGTGGTGAGAAAGTAGCGCTGCTGGCCCAGCCCCGGCACCCGCTGGAAGCCGCGGAAGGTCGTCTCTGCAGCCTGGCTCTGGGGCCTGACCGCTGTCAGTGGTCCCGGGCCACCTGCAAGGGCCTGAGGGTGTCAGGGCCGATGACCGGATCTCACCGTGAGGTCAGAGTCTCTGTGGACAAGAGGAAGAAGGTGTTTGTTTTTGTTTTTGTTTTGGCTGTGCGTTTCTTGATGTTTTAAAAATCTGAACAGTCAAGAGAAACAAAACGCAGACGGGCAGAACCCATGGACACCCCCAGGAGCCGCGCAGCCGCCAGCCCTGGGCGAGGGAGCGGAGCCCCCCGAGGCGGCGCTGTTTAAAAGGCTCTCACCGCCGTTCTGCTCTGCTTCGTGGTCTGTGTGCTCTGCGTGCAGGCGGGACGTGGCGGGAAGACTTGGAACCCAGGCCCACGGACTGTGTGGGGCAGGAGACGACAGGCCACTGTGCTAAGTCGTCCGTAGGAAAAGGTGTCGTGGTAACACTGTTGGGACTATTTCTGCACATCTTGGGAGATCGCCCGGCCGCTCTTGTTCTGGACAATCTTTGCAACGTGACCGTGGTGCCGGGGCTTCTGGCTGCCTTTGTCTCTGGCTCAGCCTTCCCGTGTCTCACGCCGGCACCAGTGGGCCCGTGGCAGACGGGCCTGCTTGCCTGGGAGCTGGGGAGTCTCAGCCCCTCCTCAGTCCCTACCAGTCACTCCAGTGCTATAGAAAAGCCCCTTTCATTTAAAAAAAAAAAAATCCTGCTGGCAAAAGTGCTGAAATTCACTGATGCGATGTATGTATTTAATAGATAGGGTTAGCAATTTCTATGTTAATTTTATCACGTCATTTGAATTACTGGAAAAGTCTATATATCTGTGACTTCTTACACCATAATCTGTAAACGCTCCCCCATCCCCTCAACCCCATAAAGGACTTGGGCTTGTATCTGGCTGAATTTTATCTGTTGTTCAAGCACTTTGTGATTTGTTAGCTGAATGTCTACCAGTAGCTTTTTGCAAGCTAAGAAAAAATATAAATACTGTCTATTTATCTGTATATGAAATACCTTCTCCAGAGTCCAGCCGACTCAGCTACTTTGGAGGAATCACTCTGTGTTGTGAGTGAGGGTGTTTTTCATGTCGGCAAAAAGCAGCCGCAGCGCAGGGGCCAGCCGGGTCCTCCAAACTTCGCTTGGTGGTGGGAATTGCTTTAACGCCTTTTCTCGATGCCCTTGGAGCAGTTGTAGCATTTTAAAAGACTGAGTGAAAAGGAAGGCATCCCACGTGTAGAAAGAAAACCACACCACTGGTGCGAGGCGCCTGCCGCTCCAGGAAACGAGCCACCTTCTAGATAGGCGCCCCACGAAAACACTGCCGCCCCTCGGCTGAGGCCAGACAGTTGGCCCGCCCTCATCCGAGGGGCTCAGGACAGTGGGCAGGGGCTCCGCGGCCGTGCCACTTCCCCTGGGGAGGACAGGGGCTGGCAACCCTGTCACCCGGGGTTGGTAAGACACACGCAGTTGAGAACAGCCTGGTTTCCAAACTCCAGGCTGTGGACACTTCTCCGTCAAACGGCAGCCGCTGGTGTGCGGGGAGGAACCCGCGTCAGCGGAGGCGCGGCGTTGTTTTCCAACGTGGTGAGCGCGTCCAGCCTCAGCTGCCATCTCCTGAGAGCGGCCGTGGAGGCGCCCCCTCTACCGCCAACGATGGCGTAAGGCAGTGGTTCTCGGAGGGGCGAGCCCCGAGCAGCTGTGAGAGCCTCACGGCAACTTTTGGAAATGCGAACCCCGGCCCCTGTCAGGGCTAAGATCAAACACCTGGGGCAGGGCCCGGCAGTGTCTAGTTTAACGCCCCCCGCCCAGGTGTTTCTGAGTCGGGCTGAGGTCTGACACCCGCAGGTGCTGCTCAGTGCAGCCCAGGTTAGTTTGATTAAAAGCAGGGAAAGAACAGACTAGGAAAGGCGCTGTAGTTGTGTAAAAGGATGCTGGCCATATGCATGAAATAAATCTGTAGAGTTTTTGTGTAAGAGATGCATCTAAGGCCTGTCCTGTGCCAGTTAGGACAGAAGCACAAATAAGTCAGCCACAAACACCTCTGCCCCTGCTGTTGGGACAGACAATCCACAGCTGCAGGCAAAACCCAATCTACCGCACGTGTTTATAAAGCTACTTCCTGCGCAGCTACATCCGCTCATCTGCACGCTGCCCATGGCTGCCCAGGGCTGCAGTGCAGCGTTGAGGATGCCGCAAAGAACACACGGCCCCCAAAGCTGAAAAGAGTGACTCTCTGGAGCTTTAATGCAAGTTTGTTGACACCAGGGCCTGTGGTTAAGGGCAAATACTTTCCGTATCTGAGTCGTTATTTGCCAGTCGAGCTGAGGAAGGAGCAGGGGGTGCATACGGCCTTCCGTCACCCTGGGAGCTGTTTGCATAGAATTTTTGCCATCACAGAGCATCAGCTGCGTGGGCGTTATCATCCTGGACAATGCAGAGACCACGAGAAGCAGACCAATTCATGGCACAGCACCTTGGTGAACAAACAGAAATAGCAGAGGGACGAATAGTAAAAAGAAACTTGTGGTTGAGAAGTGAAGATGTTAAGAATGTGATGTTTGTGAAAAGCTAAAACAAAGGCATGTGTGCAGAGCAAGCCTGGGGAAATTAAGTCACAAGGCAAGAGGGACAGGTTGCAGCCTCCCGGTGTGGGGGCGGGGCCGTCTCCCAGGGAATTCTGGGGTCTAGGGAGGCGAAACCGTGGGACTGTACACAAGGCGGGCCAGCCGCGCTGTCTGTGAGTCGGCACGAGCCTGTGTGCTCCCCGGTACTGGGGTCCCTAGATTCCTTACTCTGTCCTCCATTCTTGCTGCTGACTGGCCCGCAGTGTGGAGATGCTGTTAAAAAAAATAGTATTGGTCCTTTTAGAAAGCCTGAGTTACTTCCTGGCTTCACCCGGGATTGTTTGACGTTGGGTCAACCATTGCCTGGCTCAGGGGCTCCCTGTTCTTTGCAAGGTGCTATTTCAGGCTTCTTCCTGCGTCAGAGAGTCAAGCTGCTGGACTCACGTGTCACCAAGGGGCAGCACGGCACCAGGGGCCCACCGCGTCCCCGGCTCCAGGGCCCAAAGAGCGAAAGAAGAGAAGGCCGGCCGACCCCTGGATCTGCCTACAAGGGAGTCCATGACCGCTGCCCAAGGTCCTAGTCTCCCTGGAGAGATCTGCTGCTGGTTTATTTCCAATTCATGCCCGGTGATAGCCCCCTTCTCTTGCTCGAAGGGATTGCTTACTCTGGAAACGTGTGGACGGGGAAAATGCCCAGGTGCGTTCTATGTTTTTGACCTTATTTCTCGTTCTTGCAGGAATTTTTCTTTAAATGCGGAGCACACCCGACCTCTGATAAAGAAACATCAGTGGCTTTGAACCTGATCACAACGAACAGCCGAAATATCCCCTGCATAACGTGCACAGACACCAGGTAAGGGTCGCACACGTCCCTCTCGGCGCCCTGCTCTCCCGCGGGGAGGAACCTGCCCCAGTGGTTTCTCTTGTGAGGAGCGTCTGCTTTACGTGGACGCTATCTGCCTGATTCGGGCATATTTCCATGTGAAAAGTCTGTAAAATGCCAACTGCTCAGCTTGTTCACGAGTCAGGTAGGACCCTAGGATATAAGTGAGATGATTCATGTCCCAAGACAGTGTGACCTTCGTCGTTATTAACATATAATCACAGGTATCGATGGGAGTAAGTGCTAAAATAAAACATGACGCTAATGTTAGGAATGGAATATTTACGAACGCCATTTATTTGTGGAATATATGGCCCGTAATGTTTTATTTTTAAAATGTCTTTTCTATGCATTTTGGTTCCCCCTCATCTCTCTCTGTATTTATATTGGCATGTCACGTACGTACATGCACGCCCCCCAAAATAAAAACATGTAGCTGGTTTTGGACCTGAGTTTGTCTAATCTCAGTGAATACAATGTAAGGAAGGCAATTTGGAGATAGTCTATTAGAAATAAAAGACCGATTTGGCTTCCACGTTGCAAGGCAAGGACAAAGGAGAAGAACCTGAGACTATTTAATCTTCAGAGTCAATGGTTGTGAGTATCATTCCTTACACAGCACTAATCAAATGAACACCATAAAATAAATGAGCTTTGTTGCACATTCTCTGAGGGTGACTAGAAGAATGTCGCAATATGGGGGGCTTAGCCCTGATATCAGGAAGAACTTTAATGAAACACCAAACAAATTAATCAATAAAGTCAAAGAATCTTTTTTTGTTCCAGGCTTTTCAGCTAAAACAACTTAGCTGGTCATTTCAGTGTTGTCTCTTTGTCCTTTGGGACACTACAAGGGGACCTTTTGAAGCTGCTTTAAACTCTATGACTTCATGAGTAGTGGGCACTGATACTCCTAACATGGTACTTTTATTCTTTAACAAGTTTAAATAAAAATGTTGGCTAATAGAAGCCTACAGACCTGAACAAGTGTTGAGCAAACTTGCTTCCAAAAAGGGGTAAAGATGAGACGTGTTTCTCCCGCCGCACGCGCAGTCCGGGCTGGGGCGGGGAGCACGCCCGGCCGCCTGCCACGCGCCACCTCAGCCGCCCCGGGAGGCGAGCGGCAGCACGCGGCCAGCGCTGTGCACGTGCAAGGAGAGCAGCTGGTTCTCCCGGCGATTCAGGAAACTCACCAGCGGGTGCTGAACCGAGGGCCAGCTGCCCGGAGAGCACTCAGTAATTAACTCACTTTCCAGTTTTTCAAAGGAGAAATTCGAAATATCATTCCCTAAGTCCGCATGTAGCCTCCAGGCAGGATTTTAAAACTTCCCATTACAGTTAATAAAGATGGCACTAAAATACGTGGTGTTGATCACATCATATTGTCTCGCCAGGAGCCTGGCCCTCCCTGCTTCCTGTCGATAAGCTGTCACCTTTAGAGTAATAGCTCACAAAATCTTTCTAAAGAAATGCGCCACCTTCTAGATATGCAGGAAGATAATTGCTGAAATAATAATATTGCCTGTTGCAACAAAATTCTCTCATTACTTCTGAGGGATTTTATAAATAGAAGTGACGACATTCAGTTAGATTTAAGTGTGTAGGCATAACCAGCACCTGATTACATAAGCTCTCTTATGTAGGGCAGCAGAGAAATGCTCATATTTAAGAGAGAAGCGTTATTTCTTCTCACATTCACGGGTTTGTGCCAGGGGATGTTTCGGTGGGTCCATGCACAGGGGTGTCAGAGAAGCCGGTCTGAATGCCCCCACTACTCTGCACTGCTTTGCTCATTGTTCTGCAGTTTTTTCTAGCTGTGGTTTATTTTTTAACTTAGAAGTAATTCACAATAAAAATTTTAAATATTAGAAAACTTTACCCTCATGGATAGTAAGACGTTGGTTTAATTCTCTCCAGCGTCTTGCGTGTGTCTGAACATTTGCGTGTACACACAGGGGTTGTGCCTGTGTGAGCATGTATTCGCGTGCTCCATGTGGTCATGTTAGAGAGATGGTCCCGCATCTGACGTTTCCATTTAACTGGTGTCATGTAAATTTTCCCTCTCATGAAATATTTCATGAAAACAAGGTTATTTTTAAAACAGGTACCTAAGATTCATCAGGTAGGAATACTCTTATTTAATCACTTCCTATGGCTAGTGATTTGGACTATTTCTAATGTTTAAAAAGTGTGTATATTAAATTAAGACTGAAGCGCACATCCTTTGACAGAACTCGTGGACTGCAAGCCTCAAGTCTAAGAGCTCAGCCGCAGACAGTAGAAGAGAGGCTCTGGGCGCGCGGTGCCAGGCGTGTTCCCGGAAGCTCTGCGCCCTCTTAGGTAGCGCGGGGCGGCCTGTCTGAGCGCGCGCCAGCGCCTTTCCCAGGATCGTGCTCCCACGGTTAGCCTTTGCCCATTTGCTAAAGGAGATTAGTTTGCTCATTAATATTTTTTTAATCCTTAAGTAAATTCTAGCATTTCTTGCTGATTTCCATTTTCTCTTGTGAGAGATGAACGGAAAACTTTTGCAGTGATTGACTTTTAATATATTATCATTGTATCTTGCAACCTTGCTATAATCGCTAATTGCTTCTAGGAAGGTTTTGTAAATTGTTCAGGTTGTCTGCCCATGTGAACAAGGACAGTTTTATATTTTTCTTTTCAATCTGTGTACCTTCACTTCCTTTTTTGCCCTATTTCATCAGCAAGGGCTGGGGAAGCTGCACAGTGGGGGGGGGGGGCATCTGTGCCCAGCACCTCGCAGCGGGGACCTTGGAGTTCCTCACCAGGACTTAGAATGGAAGCTGCAGGTTTCTGATACATAGGATTTATCAAGTTGAGGGAGTCCCCTCTATTGCTAGTGTTCTGGCAGTTTTTATCATGAATAGGTGTTGGATTCTGTCAAATACGTCTCTGCAGCTACTGATATTATCATGTGACTTTTCTTTTTCAGTCCATTGATGTGATGGGTTGCATTAGTTTATTTTTGAATGTTGAATTAGCCTTGTGTACGGGGAATGAATCCCATTTGGCCACAGTGTATAATTCTTTTTATGTTTTTTTGGATGTGACTTGCTCCTATTTCGATGAGGAAATTTACACCTGTGTTGGTCCCCAGCTCTCTTTTCTTGTTGTGTCTTCACCTGGTTTGGGGGTGCAGGTGATGCTGGCCTCGTAGAATGGGTTAGGACGGGCACATTTTGCCTCTATCTCCTGAAACAAATTGCAGAGAATGGGTAGCAAGGTAAGAATTGTATTTACGTATGTGCTTTACAAACAATATTTTTATATTAAAAGAGATTGACATCGCTCATCTACCTTCTTAATGGCATTTCTTAACCAGTGCATGGAGTGGGGCACAAGTGGGTATGCGGTCGTGCGGACATGGAACACAGAGCTATTCTCGTGCTGTTACTTGTTAGCGGTTGTGGTGTTCTCCATATGAACCACTGAAAGCCGACTTTCCCCTGCCCTGTGTGATAACTTACATTCAAGGAGCTCCAAAGCCACTGAGCCTCCTTTGACCTTAGGAAAATAACGTAATCTCCTAGGCCTTCAGGTTCCTTAGAAAACCCGAGAACTGAAGCAGGAAATCTGTGAGCCTCTGTCTGGCTCTGAAGGTTGGACCCGGGCTTGGCCTCCGCTTACAAATCAATCGTATCATTTGAGAGAAAACACATTCGTGGGTCCTGTCCCCTGACAGGCGCAGAAAGAAAAGATGAGGCTCCCGATGCTACTGCCTTCCAGGTCACACGTGCGTGCTTGTTACTATGTAGGAAAACGTATTTCCAGATGTTAGGCTTAAAATTTCATTCGGCTACGTGGTCTGCGTCCTTTGAGTTTACGTGGTCTCTAAAATACCGTCCTCCCACTGAAAGAGAAAAGCGAACTGTCTGAGAGCCAAACGTCCTGAGGTGGTACGTGGACCAGCAGGTCCCCATCTGCCATCCAGCCTTGCAGGCTGCTCATTATCTGCAGTTGTTGGTGATCTTCATCAGCTCAAGGTTATCGCTTGATGGTCTTAAGTTTATGAATAAAAAGTAAAGGGTTGCACAAACAACAAAACTTGAGCCAAGAGCAGGAAGCACAGCCCTTGAAGGTAGAACGGCCGTATTAAGTATTTCCCATAGAATTACCTCACAAGGCAGCAGACATTTCTGGACGCCTCAGCCTGACTCCGGAAGAGCAACGAACAGCCTTGTGCCCATGGAAGGGCCAAAGCCAAAGCGACACTTGTGTTTGCTGCCCGACCAGCACGTGCGTCTGGGGCTCACCCTGACGCGGGGTCCCCCCTCAAGGGGAAAGTGTATTTACAGTGTTACTCTTCTTATAATTCAAAAATGTGAAACATGAAAACATGCAAAATAGAAAAATCCTTGACATGATCTCGTGCGGCAAAAATTGCGCACCCCCCCCCCCCCACTTGTAGGGTGGCCTGGTGCCCTTGCACTTCGCCCTTCTCTCTGCCTTGGTTCATCAGTCCTCAGGTTACAGAGCTGAAGACAAACTTAAAAAATTTAAAAAACGATGTTTTCATAGTCACAACATAACCTTCCAGAAACATGTTTTAAAATCCAGTTCCCAGCAGGGCATTAAATCTAAGAAGTGGCACTACCCTGTAATTTCCCCAACTCTTCCAATAAAGACACATGGTTTTGATGTCACCGCTGTTTGATATAAATGGTTTTTATAACAGTCTTGCTTTCGAGTTCGTCCTAAACATCATTCCGCCTATTAAAGCAGTGCCGCCCTGGCGGGCAGCCTTAAATCGTTTGCTCGGGCTGGGAGAGGCGCGAAGTCCATTTGTACTGGCTCCTGGCTTCCCGGGGCACAAGTGTCGGCCCCTGTTTGACGGTGTCCAGGTCCACACGCACTCCATCGTCCACTTCAAAAATGCCTTTGTCACATCCTAGGCCACCCTTGTCTACTCACACTTAAATTTTGGTTATATTTGGCGTTTCTTTTATGAT